TGTCCTCTTTCTTTCTTCTTTGTCTTTCTTCCTGTCCTCTTTCTTTCTTCTTTTGTCTTTCTTCCTGTCCTCTTTCTTTCTTCTTTTGTCTTTCTATATTTCTGTCGCCATCGCCATTGTCATAACCAGAGGCAACCACAGAACGACCAGCAATCTTCTGAGGCCGACATCGCTGTCGTCGTCTTCGTCCATCATCTATCTGTTTTATGCATCCTCTGCTTCTTTTTTTTCTTTCCCTTGCATCCTTCCCGTCTAGATTCTTTTTTTCCCTATCTTCTTCTTTCCGATAGTTTCCCGTACACGTGCAACAAGTTTGTAGATGACGGGAGACCTCCATCGCCACACCTATTTGCGTTTATGCCATTCACGCCTTCTCCGCTTCTTTCCTCCCCCGCAGCCTCTTCTTATCTCTCTCCTTCTTCTTCTTCTTCTTCTTCTTCTTCTTGTCCTCCTCCTTCATAGAAATCACTGTCCTACTTATAGTCATCCTACACCCTAGGTAGTGCTCACTCTCGTCCGTCTTCTTCCTCCTGCTCTTCCTCCTTGCATTTCTTCGATTGCATATCTCCTCCTCCTTTCCTGCATTTTATTCCTTCTCTTCCTGACTTCGGTCTTCCATTTTATTCCTCCGCTTCTTCTTAGGCCGGGAGGACTGTCGGCGGGCCGCAAGGCATGGTCATCTGGAAAGCCCCCTGAGGATGATCGGCGCGGAGCGCAACCGATCGAAACGGGTCGGGGAATGTGCGCGTAAGCTGAGACTAGTTCGCGCGGCTATGCATTGAAGAGCTTTCGAAGCGCGTACGAAAGGCAGTTGCCCCCTGTTTTCACTCTTCTTCTTCTTCTTCTTCTTCTTCTTCTTCTTCTTCTTCTTCTTCCTATTCTTATTCTTATCTTATTCTTATTCTTATTCTTATTCTTATAGCACAGTCCATGCATATGCAGGAAGCAGCGATGGTCACTGCTCGTCCTCGTCTTCTTCTTCTTCTTCTTCTTCTTCTTCTTCTTCTTCTTCTTCTTCTTCTTCTTCTTCTTCTTTCGGCAGTGAGGAGAGACATGGACTGGTGGCTGCGTCGACAGGCCTGTGTGGTCGGGTCGGGTGTGAGTGTGACTTAGGTACACCCGGCCGCGGGAAATCCGTGCTGGGATGGGTTTAAGTATATCTCATCTTGGGGCTTGGCTTTCACCCCAGTCAGGCTTATTAGCAGCGTTTGGTTGACCGTGCAACACTCCCATGAGGGAGGAGGTCGCGTGTTCGATTCTTGAGATCGGATCATGGACAAAAAACGAAATCCTTCTTCTTCTTCTTCTTCTTCTTCTTCGTCGTCGTCGTCGTCGTCGTCGTCGTCGTCGTCGTTCCTTCTTCTGTCCTAGTTGTTCTTCGTGCATCTCATCACTCATTCCTTCTCCAATCGAACAATTTTATTTCAAGATGGAAACAAAGAGACGGCAACAAGTAAACAGTGAGAGAAGGACCGTCCATCTTCAGGGGGGGGAGGGGATTCATTTAAGGACCGTACCTCTGCGTAATCTAACGGTTGCATCGTGTTGCTCTAAGATCGCTCGGTTGAAGAAGGAAGGATAACTTCTTAGGTGATCGGCTGGTTGCCATCCTCGAACGAGCGTGGGTTCAAATCCGACACGATGGAGAGAGAGAGAGAGAGAGAGAGAGACAGGGAGAGAAGGAGAGAGAACAGGAGGGAGGAAAAGGATAGAGCACAGAGAGAGAGAGAGGGGAAGTCAAAATGGTACACGAAGAAAGGCCAAGGAAGCAGCAGACGAGTGCAAGAAACGGCGGAAGAGCAAGAGAGAGAGAGAGAGAGAGAGAGAGAGAGAGAGAGAGAGAGAGAGAGAGAGAGAGAGAGAGAGAGAGAGAGAGAGAGAGAGAGAGTAGTGACAGTAGCAAAGCACTGCTGCTGACGACAAGGATTGGAAGTGGAAGGGATAGGAGCACTGGATGAAGACGCATCCGATCCCCAAAGGAGAGAGAGAGAGGGTGAGAGACAGAGTCAGAGAGAGAGAGAGGGAGAGGGAGATGGAAAGAGTGGGTCACAGAGAGCGAGGGAGAGAGGGAGAGAAAGAGAGGCAGACAAAGAAACAGATACAGACAGGCAGACAGGCAGATTAAAAGGTTCACAGAGAGAGAGAGAGAGAGACAGAGAGAGAGGGAGAGGGAGATGGAAAGGTTGGAAGGAGGATCGGGCTATGGAGAACAACCTTGTGGTAGAGAGCTTTCCAGGCGTTGTCATCGTTGGCAGCACGACGCATGGAAGAATTTGTCATGGAGACGCTACAGAGACTCTTGTAGTCCAAGTAACTGAGAGCGTAGTAGGTGATCTCTGGAACGAGCTGCTCCATCATAGACACGTGTCGATGTTTTCCTAATTGGCTGCCACGTGGATCGTTTCCATTTTGAGATTGTGATTGCCGGCCCGTCGCCGCCGCCGCCGAACCAACAGCTGTCCCACTGCCACCGGTACCAGCAGCTGCATGAAGGCGACTGGTCGTTGCTTCCTGCGATGCCGACCTGCAGGAAACACCTAGCCCTCCTCCGTCTTCTCCCTCCCCTCCTCCTCCTCCTCCTCCTCCTCCTCCTCCTTTGTCTACTACTACATCACCTACTTTCCCCCCAGCCTCTCCCTCCGCAGAACCATTCTCATAATGCTTCTCCGTCATACCCCCCTTTCTGTTCCACGAAGTGCTGCGTATAGCGAAAGTAACGCTCGCCACGGCGATTAAAGTCCAGAGTACAGTCAGGAGCAAGCCCCCACGTTGCGCCACGTGTCTCTCATCACCCTCATCGCTCACAGTGGGCAAGAAGTCGGAACACATACACACCGAGTCCAGCAACCCAATCCAGTCCATGTGAAAAGCCCCGGTTTACAACAGCTTGGCGCGCTACGCTGGACCCCCACCGAACACTCTAATGCATCGATACCCCCTCCCCCMCCCCCYYCCCCSYCCCCCCCCCSCCCCMMCCAACCCCCGACTATCCAGMCTCCGCCTTCTTCGCCTAGACGACGCACACACGCACACATATTACCCTCTCTCTCTCTCTCTCTCTCTCTCTCTCTCTCTCTCTCTCTCGGCTACGGTACTCGTAGCGTCGATCGGTCAGCTAAGGGTATAGGCCGTTCATAGAACTTCCCCCGCGCTCCCCTCGACGCCGCCGACAGGTCGGTAGCGCTGTCGCAGCCGATCCCCCTGTAGACCACCTCTCTGGCGCCCCCGTCGGCACGGATGCGCCTCGACCATCTGCGCCGCCTCCGCCACATCGCGGACCACATAGTATTCTGCACCTGAGCAACAGCTAAAGGGGGGGGAAAGAACGCTCCAGTGCGCGGCTCCACTTTCAAGACTCCACATGCATTTGGACGCGTCCTGGGCGCAGTTCATTCAGTGCATGTAGAGTAAGGGGGCCGTTCCACTACACTTCATTTGAGGTGACATAGGAAACAGGAGCTAGCCCAGTAGGTAGACGTATCACACCGCTTGAGAGATTTTTTTTTTTGGGGGGGAGGGGGTGGGTTAAATGTCCCTCCGGGAAGCGGTCAAAAACACAAAGGAGGCTACTCAGAAGGTGGACAAACTGGTAGAACTCCAGAAAACCTCACAGTCGGACAAAGCTCGAGACGAGTCCAAAGGGAGAAAACGTAGAGGACGGAGTATACCACTAGTACCTTTCCCGCGTGGGAAAATAGGGAAAACTGGCAGTTTTCCCAAACTCCTGAATATTCGGAGGTCGGGCCCGACGACGACTGCCATTGATAAATCTGATCGGCAGCCGTCATTTCGTTTCGGCCTCTGAAAAGGTAGGACGCCTACCCGAGGCCCGCTATTTTCCAAGCGGCAAAGGTACTAGTGGTCTAATTATTATTATTTTTATTTTTTTTATTTTTTTTATTTTATTTTATTTTTTTAACTGAGCAATTCCGTTCCAATGATAAACAATGGAGGCCGGGGACCTCACAATTCAACCCGGGGGTATCTGACAGCATCAGCCAGCTTAGCTTACAGGCTTTCGCCTGCAGAAACTCTGTTACTATAGACTTCTCAGATCCTATTCAGTGGCCCGCATAACCTGCCTCAAACGGACTAAGCCTGAAATGGGAAATCCGCATCCTAATATACTGAAGCTAGTGAAACATTAATCTCCCTACAAAATTCTGTATGAGTGTCTTTGATCCTTCACAAGCCTTACGCACTGAGCTTCTTAACTGTTATAAAACATCAATCTGAACAACTAGTCTGGGACTAAAACGGCCCAGAGGAAGCTTGTCCAATACTACTTGCAATCTCCTATCGGTCCACTGCGACCCTACAAACCGAGTGCACTGGTTCAACAGAGGGCCTAACTAAATCGTGTCCCTCCCGTTGCCGTTCTACCTAGTGTTAACTGCTGTGAGCGAAACATCCAGGACCCACTTCGAGATCACCAGACCTTTCTTTGAGTGTACTGCCGCCAACTTGTTATTCTTCGCCCAGGTGCGGAGGAACCAGTACAGTTGGCGCCTGCTCCCTGTACCGGACTTCGCCTTCCCCCTCCAATCCACCCAAATCGCGTGCTTCAACCCTTGTTTAATGTAGCGCTTAGTCTCCAAATCAGATAAAGGCCGTTTTTCGAACCGTGATCTGTTTCTGTCCAACCAGATCGTCTCACAGATCAGGCCCCTGACCACGTGAGCCACGTAGCCCCAACCCTGATGACCCTTAACGCTCTTCGGTAGGAAACCCATTAGGACCCACTTCTCAGTCCATTCCACGCCATGGCCACCAATCTCCCTCCAGTGGTGAGCCGACCAATTCCATATCCTCTTTGATGCGGGGCACTCCCACCATAAGTGCTTGGTGGACTCGAAGGGCCATCTGCACCTTGTGCAAGCAAGATCAACCTTCAGGCCCCTGTTGGTTAACCAGACTGCTGAGGGGGTCACCATTAACGACAACAACCACAAAATACTTACTTGCTTACCATTTGGGAGGGAGGACAGGGTGCTCAAAAGTCTTTCAAACTCAGCTTCCGACTCCGACAGGTCCTCTTCGCACACCGCCTGCCACCGGGGGATCGCCACTTCCGCTGGCGTTTTAAGTTTTTGTGTGCTCTGCTTGTAGCCTGCAGCAACCGAGTACTTGTGTAGAACTAGGGCCTCCTTCTCAGGGGCCTTGCGTGCCCATTCCCAAGCTACCGGGTCGATACTGAGCTGTCTGAGGGGCAGCCTGCCCAACCAAGTGAGGGTTCTGGCCGAAGGCGACCTGCTGCGGACTTCCAGCACTCGAGCCTGCTCGGGATTGTCCCAGAGTTGTACCGTGACTTCCTCTAGCAGGGACAACGTGTTCACAGGGTCCTCGCATCTCCACCTCTCTATCCTTTTGAAACCACTCGGGAGGATCTCCAACATCTTTCAGAGAACAGAATCCTCTTCCCTCTCTCGTTGTGGGACATACCAGGTACCAGCTGGGTCTGAGCCTTCCGGACCCAAAATGTCCTTCCAATCTTGGGAAACTGCATCAATCAGTGCAATCCAGTGGGCCTCCACCCCTTGCAAACCTCTTAGCACAGTTTTTACCTCACCCAACGGTTTCCAGATGCCTAATAAGGATTACCAGAGATCTGCAATCCTGACTACCCCCTTCTTTACCCACGCTCTACCGAATGAGCCCGTCGAGCCGTCCGCCAAGAAGGTCGTGCCGGAGACATCTGTGACAGCCGGGTTTTCAAACAGCAGTTGGTTCAGGACTTCCTCTTTAGAGGACGGGGGTTTCTGCAGCTCCGGGGAAAACCGGTGCCATGCCTTGCGAATCGGTTCCCAAAATTCAGACTTTAGTTTTTTCTTTCGAAAGGACGACATGAAAAAGCATGCTTAGACATCCTGTGGCCTACTTAGCTCCCATTGCTTCATCAGCAGTCTCTCAGCCAGCATGACCCAATGTTCCCTGCTGCTCATAGTAGCCACTTTAACCACCCAATTTCTCAGTTGTGCCTGGCTCCTTCTTGCAGGATCTAGCAAACCCAGTCCACCCTATGTACGTGGGAAGGTGAGAGTGTCGTAAGCCACTTTGGACAGGACCCCCCCTGCATCTTGAGCCCGAGGTTTCCAAATGAACCGGGCAACCAGTCTCTTTATAGCCTTGACTGTTCCTACAGCCAACTCCTTTACAGTGAAGACAAACCACATGATTGAAAACAAGGCCACGTTTGCCACTAGCGCTCTCCCTACCACTGAGAGGTGTAGTGGTCTATTCTCAAAGTTGGTGGATCCTTGCAGTAATATATTAAAAAAAAAAAAAAAAAGCAGACCATCGCCATGCTCTAAGCGAGAGTGGTCCTTTCCGAAAAAAGAGTAAGCCGAGGATCAAGAAGTCCAGCAGAGAAAAGGGCAAGAGGTTCAGCCTCTCTGTGCATCTGTTGGGGGAAGAGACGTACCATCGGATCAAATATGTAGCAGCGCGATTCATTTAGAAACCATCTGCTTCGGACCTTCAAGGCTACCTCAGTAAAGTAGCCTGGGAGATAGTTGTTTTCCCAGAGACCAAGGTGGCCTGGGCATCCTCGACCCTGCCCAGTAGAACTTGGCACTACTGTCCAAGTGGCCTGTACAAGCCATGCTTGACAATGAAAGAAAAATATGGATCGCTTATCAGAGTTTATCTTGATGGAAGAGTGGGAGCTCACGCAGCCTTGCCACGCCTGGTTGTGCTTCCTCATCAGCTCCTACTGCAAGAAACAGGTAAGGTTCACTCTCTGGGGTAACATTCTTACAGCCTGGAACAAAAACAGGCCTACCACTTAGGCAGAACCGATCTCTAAAACACAAATCCTTAATCAGGTCTTATTCGAAATTGTGTGGATCAACCACCCGGTTGATGGTCCTCCGTTAGCAGATTCCAGCCCGAGTGTTTTTGGGAGATCATGGATTGAAAAGGGGGTCACCCAAGTGAGGGACATTTGGGACCCCCTCGCTGAGGACTGACTCTCGTTTGACGCCCTTAGGACAAAACTCCCAAGATTGCATAGTCTGACCCATAACTACACCAAGATCAAAGATAGTATCCGACCCCACTAGTCTTTTGCCCTTAGTAAGTCAAATGCAGAGTTCACCCCAGGTTCATGGATAAGGGACCCGGTGGACGCGAGCAAGACTTGGAATGTCCTGGGCCCCGCCTAAGACCGGGCACAAAGGTTCAAATTTGGCAAGTAAGGCCGAGCAAAAAGCTGGAAAAGCAACTCAAATTCATTAAAGAGATTCTCGCCCCCTCCAAAGCAGACTGTGAAGAGGTAAGGGTCTTGAAAACTTAACAGAACAACAAACAAGTTTGCTCCCTCCTCCCTTTGAAACCTGAAGGTGGAACCACTTCTCAGTGGTTGAAAAAACTTCGGCCCAAAACCATTTCCTTATTCCAGAGACACGGGAGGATGCATCCCCCTGCTTAAGTATGTACCCAAGTGTGGGGTAAGGGTCCAACGAGACAAGAAAAAGAAGAAACCAATCCTTACAGTAAGAAAAAGGTTCTCCGTATCTCAATGCCCCCTGGTGGGTAACACAACCATGATGGACCTTCGGAGAATACTTAAGAAGCTCCCCTCTAATAGGATAGTTTCACTCATTTGGCTATAATCTATTAAGATTACAACAACGGCAGTATGGCTAGAAGCCAGAGAAATGCAAGTTGCAGACACATGCATAAGATGCAATTGGGCGTGGGAAAACGCCCCTCATCCATAAAGATAATGTCCAGATTCAGCAGCCTGCTGGGAATGGTGGAAGGAAAGATGGAGACTCGTGGGCCTCTCACCAGAAGATTGGTCAGAAAATTTCATCTTACATGGTAAGTTCGAGACTTTTGGCCCTCCATCAAAAGCAATCCTATATATCGCCCACACATGCCGGGGTATTGTCC